GAATTATTAGGAGATCACTACAATAGATTAAACAACTTAAATGCTACAAGAAGATAACATGTACATTCCATCATATTCAGGTATCTCAAACTGCTCAGATTTTCTCACCAAGAAATACTCAGGTCCTGAAATTCAAAAGACATTAACCTCCACACCATTCAAGAATCATTTCTTTTTAAATCTATAGGTACTTCACTCATTCTTTCATATTCAATCACAACCAATTGAACACCGGTTAACAAAAGACAACACAATATAGTTCCAAATCAAGTTTCATCATATTTAATATTATTACATTCAATAAATACTCAGAAATGAGGGGGGGAATGTCAGGTATTACATAACCAGAATAACCAATTATGCACAATTCATCAATACTCAACATTTCACATCAACTATAAGAAGAATCAAGAATCCACTAATTGTAACATTATATGTATATTAAGAGAACATCGGAATTACCTTATATACACACAGTAGAGGATATTCTGTCAGATGGAGTGCGATTACCGCTTTTTTAACATCGATTTTGTGTTTTGTGTTTTTGGGACTTCAATTCATAATAAAACACGATCGTATAACTGATTTCCGTTAAAGCTTGCATCCAACATGGGTAAAATTGTTAGAGCCTATGGGTGGGATGACGGACAGGAGCAGCGGTTCCTAACGATAAACCCATTGGCCGATGAGGTGTCAATGTACCAGACAAACCATGTATGTGTATCGGAGCTTTATAAATGGAGTTTATGGACTAACCGCAAAGATATAGACTGAAGAGGAAGGAATTGTGAAGGCTTACACTAGAAAGGGGTTTGATGGGCTGAAATGTATTGATTATTCTCCGAACACTGTGGGTTTGGTCGCTGTTGGTCAGAGTGATGGTTTAATCAAAGTGTTTGATATTCTATCTTCAAATTCATCAGCATTGGATATCCAACTGAATAGATCATGTAATGCCATTTCATTCAACTCACAAGGTTTATTGGCTGCTGGGTTTGAAAAATCAAGACAGGAGAACGGTTTACACATCTACAATATCAATCATTATTCCACAGCAAATAATCAAGAGCTTTCACATCCAACATTATCGTTCATGAATAATGAATCTGTGACTTCAGCCATATTCCATAATGAAACAAATCTTCTTGTTGGTAGCTCAAAGTCTTTGAGAAGTATTGATATAAGGGTATCATCGCCAATTTTCCAGGCTGGATCCAAGACAGTATATGGTATCACTCAAGATCCTTATAATCCATTCTTGTTTAGTGCTTTTGCAGAGGATGGAACACTATCCATTTTTGATAGAAGAAAACTGGCAAATAGTAACCCGGAACCATTGCTGAGCTTTAATAAGCTATTGGGTGACACAACTAGAAGAAACAACAGCTCGTGTTTTAGATACTCCACCAGTAGAAGATATGAATTTGCTACATCACATGCTGGTGAATTGATAAGGAGGTGGCAAACTGGTCTTGTTCCTTCAAGTAAATATGATTCGGTGTTTGTGGCTAGCGTCTTGGATTGCAAAACCAAATATGATCGTGTTATCTCTTTTGATTATAGCAATGACATTAATTCAAGTTCTATAAGTTTGGTGTGTATGAGACAATCTGGCTCTGTGTTTAAGATGCCTATTGTTGAGAGTCAAAAATCTATCAAGTTTAATTCTTTTAATGATCTATTATTTACTGGTCCAAATGGAACTTATATTGAGGAGGTTGAAGTTGGGGGTGTTATCAATAAAATTGCCAACATGAAGACAAAAACTCCAACTGAAAAAGAAGATGGATTCGCTGATGAGAATCTACTTGAACCTAATGATACTTATCCGGATCATGACTTGGCAAATAATGAGGAAGAGGATGATGATGAAGAAGAACTTGAATTGGATCAATTCTTTACACCTCAAGAAGTTTTAGAAAATGATATTGGTGTCAGAATGAGAAGACGCGCTTTCATGGGTTATGGAACTGATTGTTTTCGCAATGTTGAAATCGTTGATAGTTTGAGGTCAATTGATAATAATCTATTTTTGAGAAGTACTTGGAGATGGTTGGATATTGCTAGATCATCTGCAGACACTGGATTGATGACCTCTGGAGACCTTGATCTGGCTTATGAAGGTATTTTGGGAATATGGAGGGGTGCTGAAGGTATTCACAGACAAAATAGATACAATGATACGACGATGAAGGAAGATGCTTTTAAACAAAAGATTACTCAAATATTAGCAACAAGAAATTCCAAAAGTATATCAATTGTGAGGAGTAACAAGGAGCCACAAAGAAGATTATGTATGATTGTTGCAGGCTGGTATTACAGTCCTGATGAGTTGGAGCAAATATTCACAAGACTTACAAATGCTGGACAGTATACAAAAGCTGCTGGTTGGGCAGTTTTTAATGGAGATGTGGCAAAAGCTGTCAACATCTTATCATCTTCAAAAAGTGGTAGACTAAAGTTAATTGCTACAGCCATATCAGGATACCTTGTACAACAAAGGACATCACATAACACGTTATGGAAAGATCAGTGTCGAAATATGGCAACGGAACTTGATGATCCATACTTAAGAGCCATTTTCGCATTTATAGCTGATAATAATTGGTGGGATGTCTTGGATGAAAGTTCATTACCATTGAGAGAAAGGGTTGGAGTTGCTTTAAGGTGTCTTTCTGATAAAGATTTAACAGTTTATTTGAACAAAATTGCAAAGAAGTATATCACCAAAGGTGAATTGGAAGGATTGATATTGACAGGTATTACACCTCGTGGTATTGATTTATTACAATCCTATGTTGATAGAACGAGTGACGTTCAAACAGCTGCCTTGATTACAAGCTTCGGGTGCCCAAGATTTTTCAGTGATGATAGAGTTGATAACTGGCTACAATGCTATAGAACGTTGTTAAATAGCTGGGGTATGTTCAGCACCAGAGCAAAATTTGACGTTGAAAGAGCCAAACTATCCAAAACAAACAACGGTTCAAAATTATTGAAAATTGTACCATCCCAGGTTCACCTTCAATGTATAAGATGTAATAAGAACATATCCAAGTCAGTGAAACCATCTAAAAGATTTACCAATACCAATCTCAAGACCACCAAAAAATCACTATCTTCATGTCCTCATTGTGGTGCTGCATTACCAAGGTGTGCTATTTGTCTGTTATCATTGGGTAAACCATTACCTCAAGATGTGTCTGAACATTTGCAATCTGACGAATCTCGGATCAATGAATTCAAAGAATGGCCTAGCTTTTGTTTAACTTGTAACCATGGAATGCACGCTGGCCATGCAGAAGAGTGGTTTTCCAAGAGCAACATCTGTCCAGTTCCTGGATGTTCTTGTCAGTGTAATAACAGATAGACTACATTATATGCAGCCATCTTTATATGTTTTGTAGAAGTATTTGTGACAAGATGGTTTTTGTGTACATACGATCAACAGGTTCCTCTATAAAATCTAGTTTCTTCCCATAGTCACGTGGTGTTTTTTTTTGTTTTTTTTGTCTTGCGAAAGGAAAAAAAGTGGACCTGATCTTTGTTTACTTTATCGGCCTCAATTAGCTTCAACAACATCAACAACAACCGCCACGAGACTCAACACTCAGACGTCACATTGGAAAGATACAGCCCTGCCCCAAATACCGTGCGCACACTACAAGGCCTTAGTCACACAAGCAGGTTCACAAGAGAGGAAAAATCCACTAGTCTAAGGTAGTGTTTTTCTTTTTGCCCAGATCACTCCTTTTTCGCCTGATTTTTTTTTCTCCAATCCAGATCCTAAAAAAAGCCCAATTAGTGATATACTATTAAGCGGTCGGCCCACTTTTGATAGAGCTGAAGGGTTGAATAAATTGATTGCAAATTAAGCGGTGTTCAGAAACTATTTTTCATTCATTTATACCGTCCCTTAGAAAATCCACAGTGCTGTCATTTTTTTTTTTTTTTTTCTTCCGAATTTTTGATCTGAGAAAATCAAGAGATCAACAACCTTCGACAACCTTCAACACTATTATTCAGATTTAAAATCAAGTACATTGGAGATGTCAGATTCGGTTTCTGAAGATATCAAGAAAAAAATCTTGAGGGAAAGAAACATCATCAATGGTGCTGCCAACTTGAAACAGAAAACAACCAATCCGGCAGTTATTCAGAAATGTAACAGTAACATTCAAGAAGCACAACAAAACATTGATTATTTAAGTGAGACGTTAAACCAGCTCAGGTTTCAAGAACCTGTAACAATTGGGTCTGGTCCAACCACTGAAAGCATTGGCGGTGACAATGCTAATGAAAATGGTGCATCACTTTCGAAAAAACCTTCAGCCTCTCCTGATGTTGGTAATTATTCACGTTTGGATTTGATGAAATATGATTGTCCTTCGTTGGGTCAAAGAATTCAGTATATGATTAATCAACTTAACACAAAGCTAAAGGTTGAACAAAAATACTATGAAGCTAATGAAAAATTATCAAAAATTTATCAACTGGATGGTGATCGAAGAATTAGTTCTGTTGCCGAAGATGGGAGAGTTCAAAGTAATCACAAGATTCAACTTTTGAAAAAATCTTTGAAGAGATATGAAGATATTCATGTGAATCTGGACCAAGTCACTCCTGAAACAGATCCAATGAATAATGTGAAATTTAGAAGAAAACCATTGGGAGGTACTTTAACAATTGGAATCAGCTCATTGAGAGATGTTGATCATATTGCGTCACCACTATTTTCAAGAAAAACAGAATCTTACATTTCAATCAAAGTTGATGATGATGAAAAAGCTAAAACTAAAGGAAGTCGTAATGATAGATGGAATGAAGAATTTAATATTCATATTGATAAAGGTAATGAAGTGGAAGTCACTGTCTATGATAAAATTGGAAATCAACATGTTCCTGTTGCAATTGCATGGTTCTTGGTTTCAGATATTGCTGAAGAAATCCGTAAGAAAAAAGTTGGACAAAGTGGTGTTGGTTGGGTTAGTGCTTCAAGAATCCAAAATGGTAGAAGAGTTGCAAATCCTAACGTCTCTAATGATAATTTCACTTTGAATGAAAAAGAATCACCAAATTCTGAGAATTCAAGAGACCCAATCAGAAGCAGTTCATGGTACATTCTTGAACCAGCAGGTCAAATTCTGTTAACAATTGGTTTCACTAAATCAACTACTTCAAATAAGAAAACTTTACTGGGTGGATTACATCGTCATGGTGCCATTAGAAAGAGAGATGAAGAAATTTATGAACAACATGGTCATCAATTTGCTCAGAAGCAATTTTACAGTATTATGCGTTGTGCTTTATGTGGTGAATTTTTACCTTACAATGGTTATCAATGTCAAGACTGTAAATTTCTGTGTCATAAGAAATGTTACCAAAAAGTTATTACAAAATGTATTTCCAAATCAAGTACTGATATTGATCCAGATGAACTGAAATTGAATCATCGTATTCCACATAGATTTGAGCATGTTTCTAATCGTGGTACAAATTGGTGTTGCCATTGTGGTTATATTCTACCCTGGGGGAGAAAGAATGTCCTCAAATGTAGTGAATGTGACACTATGTGTCATTCACAATGTTCTCATTTAGTTCCAGATTTCTGTGGTATGACTATGGAAACTGCTAATAAGATTTTGAGTACAATTAAATCTACAGAAGGATCAAGAAAGAAACAAATTCAAACATATTTGAGCTCACAATCATCAGCAACCACTGCTGTCAATACAATTGATGAAAAAGAAACACTTCCATCCATTCAACCATCTTACCAAACTTTGGAACCACCACAAACTCAACCTAGGTTACCATCATTGCCACCTAGTGTTAGCTCAGCTGCTACTCCCGAGTATGCATTAGATGGCGAGTTACCAACACAATCACTGAACAAGGCACAACAACCATCAGCCCAATCATCACAACGTCAAAGACGCCCACCCCCACCTCCAGATGGACATTATATTAGACCTGTTGCAAGTAATGATCAAGATTCATTGCAACGAAAGCAACATGAAATACTTGAACAACAAAAATTGCAACATGAGAAAGAAGTTGAACTTTATGAACAACAGAAGAGACAAGTTGAAGAAGAGAGATTACTGCAAGAGCAGCAATTTGCTGAAGAGAGAAGGCGCCAACTGCTTGAGGAACAAAACCTACGCCAACAACAGCAACAACAAGAGTATGAAGAACAACAGTTATCTAATCGTCAATCTTTACATTCAGAATTATCAGGAAAACTTGATCCAAGACATTCATTGGATTCTGACAAAAGCCACGAAGGTTCTACCCAAGCTGATTCTCAATATCAAGAAGTGAGTTCTAAGTCAGATAAATCACATCATTCTCATAAACGTCATCGTCCAAAAGTTGGTCTTGACGATTTCAATTTCCTCGCTGTTTTGGGTAGAGGTAATTTTGGTAAAGTTATGTTAGGTAGATCATACCGCACTAAACAGTTGTGCGCTGTTAAAGTGTTAAAGAAAGATATGATTATTGATAATGGTGAAATTGCTTCAATGCACGCTGAAAAGGAGGTCTTTTTGGTTGCAAATCGTGAACAGCATCCATTTTTAATTAACCTTCACTGTTGTTTCCAAACTGCCAATCGTATTTATTTCGTTATGGAATATGTTCCTGGTGGTGATTTGATGTGGCATGTTCAAAAAGCTACATTTTCTCAAAGAAGAGCTAAATTTTATGCTGCAGAAGTCTTGTTGGCTCTGAAGTATTTACATGAAAATGGTATCGTTTATCGTGATTTGAAATTGGATAACATTATGTTGAGTGTTGATGGTCACATAAAAATTGCTGATTACGGTTTATGTAAACCAGATATGTGGTATGGGAAAACTACAAATACTTTTTGTGGTACTCCTGAGTTTATGGCTCCCGAAATTTTGAGAGAACAACATTATACAAGAGCTGTTGATTGGTGGGCGTTTGGTGTTTTGTTATATCAGATGTTATTAGGTAAATCACCATTCAGGGGTGAAGATGAGGATGAAGTTTTCAATGCTATTTTAACAGATGAACCATTATTCCCAATTCAAATGGCCAGTGAGGCTGTTGGTTTATTAGAATCGTTGTTGACTAAAGATCCAAATGTTCGTCTTGGTTCAGGACCAAGAGATGCTGAAGAAATCATGGAACACGCTTATTTCCGCAATATCAACTTTGATGACATTTTGAATCTAAGGGTCCCACCACCATATATTCCAGAAGTTAAAGCTGAAGAAGATGTTTCATTCTTTGACAAGGATTTCACAACCGAGGTTCCTAGGTTAACACCGGTGAATTCTGTTTTGAATGCAACGAACCAAGCACAATTTCGTGGTTTCTCTTATGTCTCAGATTCATCTGGCCTGTGAATCAATTTACTTGTTTATCAATGGACTTATTAGTTTTCTAATTTTTTTGACTTGTTTTTTATACATGTGAGCTTGAAGTTTCACACCCAAAATTGTTTTGTTTGTCAATTTTTACACGTTTCATTTTTGTCAGCCAATATTTTAATTCGATTTGTTATTAATCTTTATAATTTTTTGAAAGCATTTCCTTTGATCACATGTAGAGTCTTTGTTATTATGGTGTGTCCCGCTACCGGCTCTATTTCTGGCGAACGAAAAAAGACACATAAATTTAAACGGTCTTGATCGAATAAATCGGAATCATTTTATATCGACCTCTATCAATTTAATATATTTTAAACATTGTTTACAATGTTCAAGAGCAGAAAACTCAAAAGCGTGACTAACGCTATCAAGACTGTCGGAACAAACGACTTGTCTGCTGGTCTTAATTCCAAATCCTTTGCCCTTGATGATGTGAGTTTTAATTGAGTTAGAGAAAATCAAATAAGCGAAACTAACTATTGAACAAAGCTGTGTAGATATGGGATGTCTGGAAGGCCAGTTGGTATCGCATTTGACCCTGTTCAGAGCTTGCTAGCTATATCTACAGATCTTGGTGAAATTCATGTATATGGCCAGCAACAAGTGGAGGTTGTTTTCATGTTGAATTCTGATATTCCAATAACCAATTTAAGATTTGTTAAAGGTATCTATTTGGTAGCTGTTGATGCAAGAAGTACAATCATGGTGTTCTCAATCTATTCCAAGAAAATGTTATCCACATTTTCACCTCCAGATAAGGTCACCGCAATGGAAACTGATCCTTCATTAGATTGGTTGTTGTTGGGGCTGCAAAATGGGACAATCTATGCTTATGATATAGATAGAGGAAATATCACACCATTCAAAATCGACAACCTACAAAAAAAGGTATTACCAAAAGAGAGACTATCGCCTGTTGTCTCAATTCAGTGGAACCCAAGAGATATTGGAACAATACTTGTTGGTTATTCTAACTGTGCTGTTATTTATTCATTAAGTACAGGTGAGTTGAGACTCAGTTTCCGCTATGAAGTTCCAAAAGGTGCTCCTGGTGGTAATAACATAATGGCTTCCACTACTCGTTATCCAAATTTAACACATGCATTATATCATCCTAATTCACTAAATATATTAACTGCTCATCAAGATGGGTCATTGGTATTCTGGGATGCATTGACGGGTGAACAACTCCATGCTAGATCTTTATTTGATATTGATATTAATGTTCCCCAAGGGTTTGCACCAACACAAGAAGGTGTAATTAACACGGAGTTTTTGAAAATTTCATGGTTGTGTGAAGATAATCCAGATATTACCTCTCTAGTGATAGCAGGTGGTGATGGTCCTTCGCATGAAGGAATTCATAATTTGAGCGTATTGAACTTTGGTATGTCTCCTAAATACTCAATAACTTCTTATGAAAAAATGGGTAAATACTATGCAGAACCAAAACAGCAACGGTTTTTGCCAATTCAAAACCGCTCATCAGTTATTGATTTTTTACCATTAGCTCAATCATCACCATATTTTCATGGGAATCATAACCCAAATTTCATTGTTGCACTTTTAGAATCTGGCGAAATTGAAACATTGGCATACCCTAAAGGGATCCTCAACTACAAATCATCATTGTTTCCTCAAAGTATAGCATGGGTACATCCACATACAACTTACACTACTGCCACACCAGTTCCTAGAAAACAATGGCTTGGAATGATTGGAAAATCTACAAAGAGAGAAAATATTTTGAAAGGTGGTTATCCTGTTAAGAAACCGCTTAGAGCCAACGAAGTTCGATCTGCTTTAGCGACGGGTCATAGTAATGGGTCAGTCAGAATATGGGATGCTTCACATGCTGAATTAGATGAATCATCAGTTATGGAGGTCAATGTTTCATCAGCGTTGAACACTATAACAAATGTGGCTGTTGACAACATTTCGTTTGCAGGTGAAACTGCCGAATTAGCTGTTGCTACGATAGGAGGTGATGTTGCGCTATTTAAATTTGATATCAACAGAAGATATAACCCAAAGATTGGTGACATTGAGCAAGATTTGTCAAGGTTATCATTACAAGAAGAAACTAGACTGATGGTTGACCTATCCAGCAGAACACCAAATATTAAAGAAGGTTTTTTGCCCGTCGTTGCAATTCATGCGAAAAGAGGCAAAGTTACTGCACTACGTAACAGTAATATTGGATTTGTCGCAATGGCATATGAAACTGGTGATTTGATCATTGTTGATAGAAGAGGTCCTGCTATCATTTTTGAACAGAATATAACCCATTATTCCCAAGTTGGTAGCTCATGTATTACTTCTCTTGAATTTTCAATCATGGTTTCTGGTGATGATGGATATTCCAGTATTTTATTATTTGCTGGTACTGATAAAGGTGAAGTTTTAACTTTCAAACTTTTACCAGAATCATCTGGCAGATTCTCAGTGAAAGTTGCAGATATTGTTCAAACCAACAACTATCCTATAATCAATATAGCACCTTCCAAAACTGAAACAGGAGCACCAGCTTTTGCAACGTTTGAGCAATTTCATCAATTGTCAAGTGGCATTCTTGTTCAAGGGTCAGTAGTTGTTACATCAACTTCTGACATCAGAATCTTTACACCTGGAAAGGCAAAGTTGACCCACAAGATTTCCAATGTACCAATCTCAAGATCGGGTATTTCCATTATTTCTGTGAAACAACCAAGTGCAAGTAAACCTTATGGTGCAGTATTACAAGTGTTGCTACAAACAGGTACCGTAAAAGTTCTTTCCTTGCCGGAATTGAAGGAAATTAGCTCTTTGCTTTTACCATACCCAGTGGATCCACACTTTATCAAATTCAGCAGCATACTACCTTCAGGAGATGCTGTTATTCGTATAGGAAGATCAGAGGCTGGATTAGTCAATATTGCTGGAGAGGGAATCAAAGCAGCTCAATTACAATCAGATAAGCTATACAATGACAAATTGAAAATTCCTTATCGTCCACAAGTTGGTGCGCTACAATGGGCAAAAGGTACACAATTGGTTTCATATGAAGACCTTGATGTGCTTATTGGTGGTGAGAGAAGACCAAAACCTAAGAACCCTGAATCTGAAATTGCCAATGGTAACATGACTTACGATGTCAAGGGTTCGAAAAACAATAGTACTGAACAGCTAACTGATGAAGATTTTTCTTATGCTAAGCCGGTTCGCAAGAGAACTCAAGGTGGCTATGATCCAACACGCTCTATTGTAAGAGCATTTCAAAATAGTTATGAGACTGCAGAGGAAAGTTTCAATGATTATGCCAATAATGCAAGTCAAAATATGAATGAATCGATTGGTGAAGCCAAGAACGATTTAATGAAGACAATGTTGAAATCAAAATTTGGCTTTTGATTTTGTATAAACATTTAATATCATAGTGATTTTGAACTACACTTTAATGTAGGATTGAATTTCATAGCTATATCATCAAAACAATCAATCTAAATCTAAATCACCAGAATCAATATTATCATCTGGGGTAGTTTGATCTCTATTGTTGTCGTTATTGGTTGCATTAGTGGTACCTTGACGATCATTTGTGTGAGAGACAACTTCACCGTTTGGACCAGTTGTAATTGTAGTAAAAATAACTTCACCATTTGCACCTGGAGAAGGAGATCCGTTATTACGAGCACTATTCATAGCAAATCTTATTGCAGGTCCAATTGTATTTCTCAATCCCTCTGGAAGAGAATTTTGTATCAAATCTGCAATGTTATGGGGTTGTTGTTGATTTTGTATGTTGGCTTCAGGTATTGAACTTTCAGGATCTTGTGTTGGATCGTTTGTAGAATGTTGGGCTGATGAATTATTGGATGGCTGATTGGATGGCTGATCTGATAAATTATCGGATGGTTGATTGGGTGGTTGGGCTGGTGTATTTCCATGTTGATTCGTACTTTGATTGTTTCTGTTACTGTTATTTGCCTCACCGAACGTTTGAAACGAGTCAGTTCCCGAAAGGATTGTTCCAATACCATTCAATGTTCTAACAATAGGGTCATTGCCATCGTTATTTGCATTATTTGCATTTCTAAATTGCTGGAAAAGGTTACCAAGATGTTGCTCTATGCCTGGTGTAGCAGAACCTTCACTCTCTTGACTTTGTTGAGTCTGAGGGCGTGATTGAGCATATCTCTCTCTAAGATCTTGAATAGGGCCAATATATTGAGATAACCCACCGGTAACGCCATTCTCATTAGCCTTTGTCTCAGCTTCTTCTAGTGCTGCACATAGTTTTTGTAAATATTGAGACGCTCTATTTTGATCTGAAGCAAGTTTGATAGCTTTACAATACGCTTCAACACTTTTAGTAGCATCACCAACAGATAGGTATGAAAATCCAAGTCTTGTCCACGCGGTTTCATAATCTGGCTTCAACTTAGAAGATTCTTTCAAATCACTTATTGCACTTTGAGGATCATTTATGGCGGTATAAGCTGCAGCTCTATTGGAATAAATGACATGATTTTTTGGGTCCAGCGTTATAGCTTCTGTGTATTTTGCTATAGCATTACCAAAACGACTTTTCTTGAATGAATCATTACCTTGCTTACGCAGCTCATGTGCCTTCACATGATTGTTACAATTAGTAATCTTGTTCAATTGATACAGTGTCTTGAAAGCACTCAATAAACCTTTGACATCATCCTCACCTTGTGAGTATACTGCTTCCTTGTCTTTTTGGTAAGTTGTATCATTAGGATCTGATAAATGAAGCGATTCGCCCTTCTTGATGAGGTCCGAATAACGAGCCAACAAAGAGTGGGAAACTTTGAACATTTCAAATTTGATTGTATTGATAGCAGGTTCTAATGAAAGCAAGAATTGACCAATTCTAAATGGTAACAGACCTGATCTATCGAAATTGGAGTTAAAGTAAGATTGGAGGCTAACTGGGCTCAGTTGATTTTTGGAATCTTCATAACAAAACCAACTGTGGTTCAATAGGCTGAAAAGCTGGTCTTCATCTTCAGATACGAGTTCTTGATCTTCTTCTGATCTGTAGGTGCTAGCCAATGTCTCCAAATGTTCCACTATGGTTATGACACCTCCAACGTTATACTCTGTGAGATTTGGTGTCTTTTTTGATGATGCAAAGCTGTTCAATCTTTTGAGATACGTAGCAACACCGTACAAAAACGCTCTTTTTTCCTCATTTGACGTGAGAATATAGTCCAATGGATTTAAACTGACTATGGACATGATAATTTAGATGTCTTGAAGGAGCCAATACTAGTATGTTTGGTCTTTGATCTCAAGTTTTCGGTTAACTAGTTGGTCAAGTTTTGATTTTTGATGTTTCAATGTCCTAGAAAAAAAACGAGATTTGGTAATTACATCAGAACGCCTCTATCATTTACAACAACTTTATGAAGGTTTAACTATGAGTTTTTGGAACCAGTCAAACGAAGATGCATTCCCTGAATCGCCACGGGTCCCTGATCTTTCCAGAGGCGCCTGCTTGAACCCAAAGGGCTTGCGAGCATTCCTGAAGTTGTCAAGAGCCAATACAGATGATGTGATAAAGCAACGGTTGAACTCATTGTTGAATGATATGAAACACACCAAGGCTGATATATGCAATAATTTCACAGACTCCATACTGTTTCAAAGCTGGAGAGACCGTTTAGGTGCTATAGAGTTTTGTGATAAAGAAAGTGTCAATTTGGAAAAAGCTATTGAATCTAATCAAGAACCTGAATTACAAGAAAAATATGTTGATCCAAGAATAGACCCTTATGCTGCTAGAGAATTCAAAGAGCTTAAAGAGTCTAAATACAAGCAACTAAAAGAACTACAGCACTGGGTCCATAATGAAAAACTAGTCGAAGATATCATTCAATCAAGAAGTGTTGAAATATTGAGCGATAATTGTGGTATGTCAGACTGGACACAACAATTCAAAGACTGGACAAACTCTTTGAAATGAGAGAAATACAAAACTGTACATAGTATTTTATTGTCCTAATGAATTATTTTTTACGATAAGTATACACATTTAGTCATCTTCCATATCACTTAGTCCAACTTCTTGCATTGCACGTAAACCTTGATAAGGTGCTTCTTTAACTTCAACACCATCCATGACAAAGTCTCTGTCCAGTTTCGAAAGATCAAGATCTTTCAACTCTTGTAAATTAGTATCAATGTCTCTAGTTATACGACGAACAGCCTTGATTAATGCAGGAGAGTTGATTGCCTCCACTTCTTGGAAAAAACTTTCCAAATCTGTTAAAAATTCATTCAATGACATATAATTGTTTTTCACACTTTTGTCATTAATTTGTGAAAGATTCAATGATTGTGTTTCTAAGTCCATTAGAAATCTTGATGAATCAATTTTGTTAATCTTGGTCAACAACAACCGTATTAAAGTGTTATGAGGGAAATAAGCACATTGCAATTGTTCTTTAAAAACTTGGTCTAATAATAATCTTTCTTGCTCTCTCAATTCCACAGCTTGTGCTAATCCTTGTAGCTGATCAATATCTTGTAACAACGTTTTACAAAATTCAGATTTTGGTTCCAATTCCTCAGGATTACCACTTGTATAACCCGTTGGATCTGTTCTTCTGACCAATGGTGCACCTCTTTTCATTTCTCTCTTCATGCACCAATATTTGGTTAATTGCTGTGCAACATTTTCCTCATCTTGTATTTTCAATTTTTTCAAGAACACACTGATGACTGTAATGAAATAATTTGGAGGAATTGGTGTGCCTCTTGAAGTTTTCCATTTCTTATTTACAGATTTTTTTTCTTTGGAAATCTTGAGGACATTTGTGGATTGATTTTGATTCAAAGTACTATAGTATAATCTTGTTTTTTCAATCCCACTTTTAATATCAACTTGTTCATTATAACCTTGTGGGGAATGTCTATGACAATACGAATGCATTGATGATTTATCCAAGACAGCTCCTTGTACACCCTTTTTCATCTCCATGAAAAGACCAGCTCTTCTAGCACAAGTTGGATGGAACGCAGTAAAACAATTCTTGTTAGCACATTGAATACATGCACCCATTTTTTGTTTACATATGTAACAATTCAATTTCCATCTCCCCTTGGGTATAACATCAAATCCTTCAACGGGCTCCATATGACCAGCACTTGCAAACCAAAGTTCAGGGATCCATAATGCACAGAGGACGTGACTCCAAAGTCCATTATCAGTTTGTTTAAAAGCACCTGTTGTAGAGGGACAAAACAGACATTTCACTTTCCGTTTTTTGGAAATCATACAACGTCGACAAAGCCATTGACCTTCAGGAATGAAGATAACCCCATAACAATCTTGATGTACTGCAATATCGCAACCATCACAGAAAATAATTGCATTTGAATTATCACATTCTGATTCGTTGCAAACTGCACAACGTTGATCCTCTTCAGGAGAAAACCCAATACCATCATCTGCACCATAAAGTTTAGTGTGGTTTATTGCAGCGCTTGTCTTTAAACTCAACTCAGAATTTGATGAATAAGTCTTTCTTATTTTAGGTGGGATTTTTTTTTCAAGATAATACCATTCATTTTCCAAAATTGTTATAGCAATCTCGAAAATTTCATGGCTTATCTGTTTTGAATCAATTTTAGAATTAATATATGCTAGGAAATAATTATCTTGTTCATCCATGTCATAAGTCGATTTAAAATTTATTTGATTTGATGAAATTGATTCAAAGAATGGATTGTTTTGTTCCCTTTTAGCGAACTGATCATTTTCACGAATATACGTTTCTGGATTTTGTGACATTGAGTGTTCTTTGTAGCCAAGTTTGATTATATTTTTGGGTATTTTACTATTGTCATTTGGTAATATTTCTTTTGGGATTTGTTTGAATTCTGGTTTTTTCAAACCTTGGATTCTAGGATGATTTGATTTTAGTTCATTTGGATCAATTTCATTCAAAAGCAACGGGAGTGCTAAATCTTCATCAAGATCGGGATAATAATCTTTGAAATGACGCTCTTCTCTAGGTTTTGATGGATCATGATGGATACTATGATTGTTATTTATGGGTTGTGTTAGTGTAGGCGGTATTGACGCGGCTCTTTCTTTCCGTTGAGATATCAGCAGAGACCTAGCATTGGCCTTGCGGTTACCTCCCTTTGGGGTACCATTGGCGCTCATCTTAAAGGCGTTGGTTCTGCTTTGAGAGTTGATTCACTTTGTTGATACACATTGTTTCTTTGGTACAGTCAAATTTTGAAAACCGCGTCTGGTGAAAAAAAAATTGCAAAACGAATTCGCGAAGGCTACAAAGGTTGTCATAAAAATTTCGTTCAATTCGTTGGAAACAATAATAATCTATATATTTAACCCATCCCAGTTCGCATCAGTTTTGTGATCTTTTAAGAACTCATTCACATCAAAATCCAATTCATGTTGTTGGTTATCACTTCCAAACGTTTGGATATTTGCAGGTGAATTTTGATAAGAACTTTCATTATTTCCTTGAGGTACAGGGTTTTGATCTGGTAATTTCTCCAATTCCTCAATCTTGGCTACTAGATCAGCTAATCTTTCATCTTGAGATTTCATAACTTTGTGCAGATGTATTAAGTATTCCACTGTTTTGTTTATAATGACTGATTTACTTGGTTTAATTTCCTTCCCATCGGAATCCACTAGTAGTAATGAAGGTGGAACAATAACACCCAGTTCTTTTATTCTTTCTTTGATTAAATCTCTTCTTCTTCTCTCCACTTGGTTGTGAAACTCTCTTCTGCGGCGTAGTTTATCCTCCTTGGTGAGTTGTTGTTTTGGGCCAGAGCTTGTTGCAGGTGATAATCCTTGAGACCGAACACTTGGTGATTTGAAGGTATCAAAAGATGAAGGATACGGACTTAATTGATCATTTATAGACCCTGGACTGTTGATGGATGAGATATCTGGTATTTGACGGGATGCCGTATTGTTGCTAAAAGACATTGGTTTTTGAGATGGTGAGAAATATTGGGAGTTTAATGTGGATTGATGTTGTTGTGGAGACGCCACTGATTCCAAAGTATCATATACTGAGTTCTTTCTTGAAGAAACAAATGAAGTTGACAGATGGTTTGGATTAGTGTATGGTGAGTTGACTGGGGATAGATAACTATTGTTATGGAAGGAGTTTTGTACGTTTGAAGGGTCATTGTGTGTTAGTGAACCACTGTGTAATTGAGTTGGGTTCAGATGGGTAGTTCCATGAGACCCTTGATGTAGATTATGACTGTTGTTGATGTTATTGTTGTTTGGATTACCAGTCGTGAAATCTAGTAATTCATTCTCAGGAATTGTGGAGGATGCATCGTTGTTGATATTGAATGAAAAGTCGTCTAGGTTAATTTTCCCGCTGTTGAAGTTCAAGTACTCGTCTGTCATTGTCTTAGCCAATTGTGTTCAAGTACCTCTGTGTATGTCTATTATGAGTGAGTCTTTGTTTGTTCTCGTTGGTGCTTTGGTTTGAAAATGTGGTTTATTTTCGTATTTTCTCAAAGCAGCAGCCTCTCTGATCCTTGACTTCCCAATAAGGCAATATCAGGGAAGATCTGCGAATAGTGCTCAAAATGCACCCGCGAATTCTTTTAAAAGACAAATCGACATCAACATCAAAATTAATACGTACTTGCTCAAGAACAAAATCAACAATTGGTAATTTACAATAACAATGGCTGACACCGGTGAAGGAAGCTTAAGAGCCCAATGGGATAGATGGACATCCACACACAATACGAACTCTGGTGGTGCTTTAAATGAAGGGGCAAAGACTTTGTTTTCAGGTTGGGCAGAAACATTGAATAACACTGCAAATGACGTTTATAACAGATTACCATTAACACAGAGTGATGCTCAAGAAGTAAATAATCAAGAGCCAGAATGGTTTACTTTATCGAGATTTGAAAGATTAATGGGTTTCATTGCTTGTTTATTAGGTTCTATCGCTTGTTTCACCATATCATTTTTCTTATTCCCAGTATTGGCATTAAAACCTAGGAAATTTGGCTTGTTATGGTCATTGGGTTCATTATTATTTGTTATATCGTTTGGTTTGTTGCAAGGTCCAATGGCGTACATAAGACATTTAACTTCTGCTCAAAGATTACCATTCACAATATTTTTTTTCGGTTCAGTTTTTGCCACTATTTATTTCAGTGCTTTCATGAAATCCACAATCTTGACGTTAATTTTCAGTTTGATTGAAATTTTTGCAGTCATCTATTATACTGTCAGTTATTTCCCATTTGGTGTCCAGGGTTTAAGAATGGCCACCGCTGTTGGAGCAAGACAAGTTGGTAGCTTAGTGGGATTTTAAAACATTACAGCAATTGCATATTTATGACTAACGAACACTCCATAAAACATGTCTCAATTCAGGATTGAAATATGATACTACTTGTACAATATTATACTTAACATAGTGTATTACCATGGTAGCATTTCTCATTTAACCAGTTTCACTTAAAACAGCGCAAACCTCTCGACTCAAAAGGAAAATCAAAACACAAACGTCTTTATCACCAACATCTACACCTTAACATCACCTTCTGGAACCTTCTATTGAACCCTTTATCTCCATTATTCCCTTATAATGCTTCAACTCCAGCCAAAAGATACCCTGTTCAATCTCGAGTTTTGTGTGGCACCGGCCAAAAAGCCCACACCTAAACCAAAAATTCGCGAATTTCGATGTTGTTGATCTGTTGCCACCGAATTTATAAAGATCAAAATTCAACACTTACTTCCACTTTTACAATTACTAAGAACCCATAACAAAACTTGAAAACTTCACGTTCCCAAATATCAATTGACTTATAATCTCGATTATAATCACATATCCATTGAATTTATCCAAGGAAAGTCGAAGTTTAAAAGATGGTTAAAGAAGAAAAGAAGCCTTTGTTAGACGCTTCAGGAGCTGATCAAACTAAAGAAGATGCTACTGCCACTGCAATCTTGAGAAGAAAGAAGAAGGATAATGGTAAGTTACTGATCAATCTTTATTCAATTGAATATTTTGTACTAACAATTTAAAAGCATTACTCGTTGATGACGCCGTCAATGATGATAACTCTGTTATCGCAATGACTTCAAATACTATGGAAAAATTACAACTTTTCCGTGGTGATACTGTTTTAGTCAAAGGTAAAAAGAGAAAAGATACCGTTTTGATTGTTCTTGTTGATGATGACATTGATGATGGTGCAGTTCGTATCAATCGTGTTGTTCGTAATAACTTGAGAGTTAGATTAGGTGATATTGTTACTGTCCACCCATGTCCAGATATTAAATACGCTTCAAGAATTTCAGTCTTACCAATTGCTGATACCGTTGAAGGTTTAACTGGTTCTTTGTTCGATGTTTATTTAAAACCTTACTTTGTTGAAGCTTACAGACCAGTTAGAAAAGGTGATCATTTCGTTGTTCGTGGTGGTATGAGACAAGTTGAATTCAAAGTTGTTGAAGTTGAACCAGCTGAATTTGCTATCGTTGCACAAGATACCATTATTCATTGTGAAGGTGAACCAATCAACAGAGAAGATGAAGAAAACAACATCAATGAAGTTGGTTATGATGATATTGGTGGTTGTCGTAAACAAATGGCTCAAATTAGAGAATTGGTTGAATTACCGTTAAGACACCCTCAATTATTCAAAAGTATCGGTATTAAGCCACCAAAAGGTATTTTGATGTATGGTCCACCAGGTACTGGTAAAACATTAATGGCCAGAGCTGTTGCCAATGAAACTGGTGCTTTCTTCTTTTTAATAAATGGTCCAGAAGTTATGTCCAAAATGGCGGGTGAATCAGAATCTAATTTAAGAAAAGCATTTGAAGAAGCTGAAAAGAATGCTCCTTCTATTATCTTCATTGATGAAATTGATTCTATCGCTCCAAAGAGAGATAAGACCAATGGTGAAGTTGAAAGAAGAGTTGTCTCACAATTGTTGACTTTAATGGATGGTATGAAGGCAAGATCAAATGTTGTTGTTATTGCTGCTACAAATCGTCCAAACTCTATAGATCCAGCTTTAAGAAGATTTGGTAGATTTGATCGTGAAGTTGATATCGGTATTCCAGATGCTACTGGTAGATTAGAAGTCTTGAGAATCCATACTAAAAACATGAAATTAGCTGATGGTGTTGATTTAGAAACCATTGCAGCTGAAACACATGGTTATGTTGGTGCTGATATTGCTTCATTATGTTCAGAAGCTGCTATGCAACAAATCCGTGAAAAGATGGACCTGATTGATTTAGATGAAGAGGAAATAGATGCTGAAATTCTAGATTCATTAGGTGTTACTATGGAAAACTTCAGATTTGCATTAGGTAACTCTAATCCATCTGCATTACGTGAAACTGTTGTTGAAAGTGTCAATGTTACTTGGGATGATATTGGTGGTTTGGACCACATTAAAGATGAATTGAAAGAAACTGTTGAATATCCTGTTTTACATCCAGATCAATATACCAAGTTTGGTTTGGCCCCATCAAAAGGTGTGTTATTCTTTGGTCCACCAGGTACTGGTAAAACATTATTGGCTAAAGCTGTTGCCACCGAAGTTTCAGCAAATTTCATTTCCGTTAAAGGTCCAGAATTATTAAGTATGTACTTTGGTGAATCAGAATCAAATATCCGTGATATTTTTGATAAAGCTAGAGCTGCTGCTCCAACAGTTGTTTTCTTGGATGAATTGGATTCTATTGCCAAGGCTAGAGGTAATTCAATGGGTGATGCTGGTGGTGCTTCAGATCGTGTTGTTAATCAATTGTTGACTGAAATGGATGGTATGAATGCTAAAAAGAATGTTTTCGTTGTTGGTGCCACCAATAGACCAGATCAAATTGATCCAGCCATTTTAAGACCAGGTCGTTTAGATCAATTGATTTATGTTCCATTACCAGATGAACCTGCACGTTTATCAATTTTGAAAGCTCAATTAAGAAACACCCCATTAGAACCAGGTTTAGATTTAGGTCAAATTGCTAAAACTACACATGGTTTCTCTGGTGCTGATTTGTCATATATTGTTCAAAGATCTGCTAAATTTGCCATTAAAGATTCTATTGAAGCTCATAGACGTGCAAATGCTGAAAAAGAAGCTAAAGTCAAGAGTGAAGAAGGTGATGTTGAAATGAAGGAAGAAGTTGAAGAAGAAGAAGAAGAAGACTTGGTTCCATTTATCACTAAAGCTCATTTCGAAGAAGCTATGAAGACTGCTAAACGTTCAGTCAGTGATGCTGAGTTACGTCGTTATGAAGCCTATGCTCAACAAATACAAGCTTCAAGAGGTCAATATACCAACTTCAAATTCGGTGATTCAGCAGGTGACGGATCAACCATTCCACCAGCTAATCAAAATGCAGGTGCTGCTAATTTTGGTGCTGCTGAAGAAGATGATGATCTTTACTCTTAGAACCTAGAATGATTTTTTCTTTATAATATTGATTCTAATACTTACGTTGTGTTTTCCAAAAATTGTTGTAGAACTACATGTTTTTAGTCATTATTATTACTTTGTGTTTCCTTATACACTTGTCCCTAAAATATCCCATAAAATGTCATAATATCATAATCCCAATTATTAAATAAATATAATTTAACCTTTCAAAAAGCTCTAGTAATTCTTCCAGCATTTGCTAATAAAGAAGTTCTTGGTTTCTCTAATTGATTAATAGGAAGATTGTTAGATGAAACTTGAGATTGTTGATAGTATGATTGTTGGTTGTTATCATTTGAAGATCTTAATCTCAATGGACGATAACCAGTCTTTTGAGGTTGTTGTTGTTGTTCCATCACCACTGGTTCTCTCAACATATTATTTATAGAATGTGAAGATTGAGTATTTATACTGCTTAAAGTGGATCTTGAAGAAGAGGAAGACATTAAAGATGGAACAGAGCTTGCAGATGATGAATTACTAACACATTTTGGAGCAACTAATGAAGCTAATCTTGTTGAAGATGGTGTTGTTGAAATGAAGTGTTTTTGTCTTGTTAATAAATCATTTTCTGCAACTTTCTTGAGTTTTGCCTTGATTGGTATGAGGAAAAATGATAAAGAATTGTATAAATCTTGTGAAGTTATTGATAAGTCCCAATTCAAATATTCTAATAGTTCACGTTCAATTGTGTTGACTTCTTGAATTGATAATAGACCATCAGTATAAGCAGCCCAGTGTTTATTTATTGGAGAAGAGTCATTTAATGATTTAGCAGCCAAGATTAAACAACCTAAAAAGATTCTATGTCTTGTTGTTTCAATACCATAAACATTTGAAGGCAAAATGGCTCGTAGTCTAGCCAAATAAACCAATGTTGACATTAAGGTTGGGGTTTGAACATTGGAATGTTTTATCAAACGACGAATGAACTCAAATAGTTGAACTGGTTGTGAATAGGCATCTGGTGAATTTGGTGGAGATGGATAGCTTGAGGATAATGTTGGTTTGACTTTGATGACTGAGTATGTTGTATCAACCAAGTACTGAACCATCTCAGAGTTGACTGACTTCTTGTTGAAGTGGTATAAAGCTTCTTTATCTGTCATATTATAGAAATGAATGTGGTATTAAATGATTGTGGAACGACAGTTTTGTTGAAAATGAATGAAAACTTGCTTTTATTTCAAATGAAGGTTTTTCCAATGGATATTTGTTTGTTTATATTCTATCAAACAAATATCAAACGCGATGGAAAATTCTTTGTGCTTAATCTTGAGGATTGTTGAGGCTTTGGGTACCTGAATGGAGAGAATGTGAAACAAGCTTGAATCTGCCTTCGAAAGTTAAAAAAATGAGTGATTGAAAATATTCAAAGTGTTTGTTTGGATTAATGATTGTGGGTGCCTCTGCTATTTCAATCAACAAACAACAAGTTGTTATTTGGAAAGGATTCCAATTTGTTTTATAACATTTTCTTCATGTTCCTGCGAAAAAAAAATATCAATAAAATTAAGGTCCAGCCATTTTGGGTCATAAACATTATGTTGCTCAAACCGGAAAAGGGATGGCGTGTGACGCGAAAAATATCAATTTTTTACGCGTCTCGAGGCAGTTAACCTCAAAAACACAACATGAACAAGGGAAAGTGGTGGGCGTGGAGTGTATCAAAAGAGAATCCTTAGTCTATCAATCAGCAATTGAATTTACTTATACTCGAGTTAATAGATTCAACAGTAACCAATCACGTTAATTTCACCTTTTCAACTTAACGTGTCAATTTTCACATCAGTTTTGGGTAACTAATCCAAACACCTGTATCTGGTTTTGGTTCAACGGTCTTTCAAATGCATAAACATCCCGCATTTAAAAATGCAAGAAAAACACGAACATGTTCTCAAACCAGCACAAATTGTTTGTTTATTGTCTGAGTTTTAATCGATTGTTTCTGGTACATGACACTCTAGGCATGGAGTGGCATAAATGAACCACATGAAAAAAGAGCACACAGCACCTAAGGTAAAGGAATACTGAAAGTCATAGAAACCACTAGCAAACTATTGACACGTATTCTTCAATTGGATTCATATTCTCTGTAATCTCCAGCCTGACCATTTGCTACCTCTTCAAGTTTTGTTCTCGGAGATAAAAAATTGGTTGGCTGGCTCGCTGGTCCCTTGAAAATTAAACCAGCTGTAGCTAAATCAATATCTATCATAACCATTACATCCTTTCGGCTTCATCCTGTTTTCCCTTCCATGTCTTGTCTATGCTTTTGCTCCACCATCACAAACCACCAGCTTTTAGTGGGACTTTTTTATGTGTGTCTACGCGAAGGAGAGTAGCTGATACGAGCTTTGGCTGGTAACTCCTGTCATGTCAAAAAAAAACCAGCGCGTCTTCCACTCATCGTCGATCCAGCTTCTGAGCACAGAAAGCTGATTACAGACAAGAGATTCAATAGGCATGAATAATGAAAGGGCGTGAAGAGCCTACAATTTATTTGCCATTCAGAGTAATAGAACAAGAATGCGTTTTTGGCGTGTTCCGAATCGTATTTTGATGGTTTCGTGGATGTTAATGAAAAATTACATAGACGAGCCATTAACTTTGCAAGTTCACCATACAACCGTCAACTGATACAGGTAACAGATTAATTGATCTTAATTCTTTCTATTAATCTATGTTCAAGTCTATCATTATCTAATTATCTATTTTTACACCATAACCACCACCACCTGGTGTATTGATTTGAACTCTGTCTCCAGCATTGATGTTGATGATCTCTTTTGGACCCATTCTGGTTGCGATGAAACTTCCATCTTTCTGTTTTCTAAACCAAATGTTCAAACCTTTGGCACCATCTTCACCTCCATTCATACCATATGGTGCAAAAACTCTTCTTTCAGACAAGATTGAAACCCTCAATGGAATTCTAGCTTCAATCTCTCTAACAGCACCGTTACCACCTTTTACTAACCCGTCACCACCAGAACCTTTTCTAATACACCATTGACTGACAAGAACAGGTGTTCTCCATTCAATGATTTCAATATCAGTTGTTCTAGTATTGGTACAATGGACATTACAAGCATCAACAGTTTCACCGCCCCATGGTCCGGCGCCAGCACCACCTCCAATAGCTTCTGCAAATGTGAAACCTTGTAAACGTTCACCAGTAATTGGATCCTTACCACCTGTACCAAATCCAAAACTATTAGCACAACCTTGTGAAGCTGCACAAATACCAAATGCTTTCAATAAAACATCTGTAATTCTTTGACCAGCAATGGTTGAACCACAAATTGCCACAAATCCACTTGGATTTAAGATGGTGTTTTCTGGAATATATATCTTACATGGTGTCAAACAACCTTGATTCAGTGGGATATCCATGTCAATCAAACAACGTAAAACATAAATAACACATGAATGTGTAATTGCCTCTGGGGTATTCATTGGGCCATAAACTTCAGGTCCTGTTCCTGTAAAATCGAAAAATGCTTCACCTTTTTCACCATCAATTGTTATTTCTAACTGAACAGGTGTACCATCATCAAAATAATCAATAGCTTTCAGTTTTCCACCTTTATGTAAAAGAGCTTGTTTCTTGAAGAAATCACGAATGGCTAACTCTGAATTTTGTCTAATTGCCTTCATATAGTATTGAACCACTAATTTACCATATTCTTCAAATAAAGCTTGCATTAATAAAGTACCACGTTGATTTGCACTAATTTGAGCTTTTAAATCACTCAAATTATTGTGTAAATTTCTAGTAGCGCTACTTCCTGGGTATTTGGCAGGTTCTTCAAAAATCCTCTTTATGCCTTTTTCATCAAATTTACCACCACTAACCAATTTGAAACTCTTTATGGAGACACCTTCTTGCCATAATTCTTTACTATTTGGAATCATAGCAGTTACACCAATCCCACCAATATCTTGATGATGCCCTCTCGATGCAACATAAAAGACAATTTCATCTTGGAAGAAAACTGGAGTAATAACGGTAATATCAGGTAAATGAGTACCACCAGCTTCTGGGTGATTACTAACAAGGACATCACCAGGTTTCAATTTCCCTAGCCATAAATCATGTTGATATTGAATAGCATATTGCATAGAACCAAGATGGACAGGGATATGAGGAGCATTTGCAACTAATCCACCATCTGGACCAAATATAGCACATGAAAAATCTAATCTTTCTTTGATTGAAGTACTCACACTGGTTCTTTGTAAGGTTCTACCCATTTGTTCAGCTATTGACATAAATCTATGACCAAAGACACTTAATAAGATTGGATCAGCTTGTTCCAATGGTGTATCAGAACTGATTTCTTCCTTGAGAGTTGTTTGTGAATCTGAATCGACTGTGATAACAATATGGTTTGAAAGTATTGTGGCCGTTGTGTTCGGCTCTAACAACAAAGTCTGGGTTTCATCAATGATTAAAGCAGGTCCAGCAATGATGGAGCCAGGTGATAGATCTTTTAGATGAAAAACTTTTGATTCTAATTGTCCCGATTCAAAATTAACAAGTTGAGTTGTTGATGGAACTGGTGTGGTTTTTGTAATTTTTGACAATTCATCATTGATGGCAACTTTAGCATTTGATTCATTTGTATTTATGATGGATTTAACAATTATGGAATCAATAATGATTGGAGTTTGTAGTGTAAAACCGAATTCTCTTTCATGTTGTTTCAAAAATTTAGCCTCGAAGTCGGTGTTCAAAAAATCATCTTCATCAGCCTCCACTGCAAATAAAGTGTTTGAATTTCTATATTTCAAGTTCAAAGAAATTTTAGTCTTTAATTTGATCCTTGATGAATCTATTAATTGTGGTTCTAATTCAGTTTTAGCTTTTTGTTCCAATCCCTTACAAGCATCCAAAACATTTTGTAGAGATTCTTGATTCAAATCACCTTTGAAAGGCTCCCTAAACTCAGTACTATTATCAGCTAAAGTCATACCATAAGCAGACAAGATTGAGGAATATTTATGGATGATGATTCTATTGATCCCTAGATTCTTAGCAATAGCACAACAGTGTTGACCACCAGCACCACCAAAAGATGTCAAGTCATGTTCCTTTGTAGCAAAACCTCTAGCTTCAGTGACTTCTCTTATACTTCTTGACATTGTTTCATTTGCAACTTTTAAAAATCCCAAAGCAACTTGTTGTGGTGTAAAGTTTTTACCAGTGTCTTTATTAATCACTTTAGTTAATTCAATGAATTTTTCAGTAGTTGTTTGATCATCTAATGGTTCATCTGCATTTGGTCCAAAGATATTTGGGAATTGAGATTTAACTAATCTACCAAGGAACAAATTAGCATCAGTAATGGTCAAAGGACCACCTTTCTTATAACAAGCAGGACCCGGATGAGCAGAAGCAGATTCAGGACCAGCATGGAATAATCCATTTTCCCATTTCAAGATAGATCCACCACCTGCAGCAACGGTATGAATCTGTAATTGTGGAGCAAATATTTCAATCCCAGCAGTATTATTTTCATAATCAACTTCTAATTGACCACCAAATCTACAAACATCAGTTGAGGTACCACCCATATCAAATCCTATAACAGGTTTGGATTCATAAGCAGTCTGTGAAAATCCAACAACACCACCTGCAGGGCCCGACAAAATTGCATTCAATCCACTAAATTTGGAAGCTGAGCATAACCCACCGTCACTTTTCATAAACTCTACTCTTGGTTTATTACTGAATGAACTTAAAAAGTTATCAATATATTTTTGAACGTGTGGTGTTAAGTAGGCATCAATACTTGCAGAGTTACCTCTGTTTAAAATCCCAATAATTGGTGAGATTTCCGAAGATAGAGTAACATATTTGAATCCAATTTTTAGTGCGATATCCTTCACCATTTTTTCATGCTTGTTGTAAACAAATGAATGTGCAAACGCAATTGCTAGATTTCTGTAACCTTTGGAATATAATCCTTCTAGATCACTGGTTGTCTTTTCCACGTTCAATGGTTTGATTATCCTTATTATGGAACCAGAATCTGTCAAGCGTAAGTTAGGATCAGAGCTAACGTCGACTTCCTGTTGATTTGGATCATCACTTGAAGTTTCGATGGTGATTCTTTCTTCAACTTGTAAAACTTCATCATATAAAGGAGCAGGCTTCTTTATATGTAGATTGAACAATTCAGGTCTTGCTTGAGTACCAATTTTCAAAACATCATGGAAATCTTGAGTGGTAACATAAACAAATTTTTCACCTTTACGTTCAAGAAGGGCATTAGTTGCAACTGTTGTACCCATTTTAATCCATTCGATTAGATTACCATCTAACTTTGAACCTTTTGGGATCTCTTTCCCAGTGAATGACTCCAAGATTCTTCTAATCCCTTCAGTTGGTGCATCGTTATAGTTACTTGGATCCACTGAAAGTAGTTTAAACACTATTTCACCTTTGTTTGGGATATTTGCCCATATATCAGTGAAAGTTCCACCTCTATCTGTGAAATTTTGTTAGATCAAAACTAAGAGGTAGAAAGGTATCTGGGTACTAACCAATAGATATCTGAACTCTAGACATGTTTTCAATTGATGTTATAACACAATATGAGGTACACAATGAATGTTTAGCGCATAGTGGAAGACGACAACTTATAAATCATCACGATCTCATCGATCAAAGCGTCCTTCCTCACAACAATACGCATTTATGACTTATCTCAACTGTTTTTTTTTCTTCGTTATTGCAAAGTCCGCTGTGGCGTCAAATCTCTATTCACTGGGATTTCCAAATTGGGTGCCGGCAATTGGTGGAACGCCTTTAACGGTCTTTTTGAAAGCTTGATGAAGATTAGCTCAGGGTCTTGGTTAACTACGACAAGCTTTATGGCCCATGGGTCTGTCTGTGTGGTGGTTCGTGGTTCTTGGTTGAGACTGTCTTTGTTGAGCTCCTCTACGTTGTTGAAGTGTTAGTATCCCTATTGTTCAGGGTATGTATCGTGTTTACCTATAAGCGATCTCTCAAGAAACTGGAAATCTTATCTAAAACCAAAGCTCTCTTCTCAAGGTGGGCACTATGGTTAGCTCCCTCAACTTCAAGCAATTCAGAGTCCTTGACTAAACTATGTATCAATTGAGACTGTTTTGGAGGGCATATCCAATCCTTATCCCCCACTATAATCAAAGTTGGAACATTCAACTGCTTCAATCCTTCTCTATAATCAAAGTATTTCTCCTGTTCAGAATACAATTCATTATGACTCTGTGCTCTATATTTGGTCTTTAGAGCAGACTTCAAGCCCTGGTTAGCATCATAGGTCTCTGAATACAATGGCAACATTGCAAAGATGGTTAATCTAAACTCTTCATCGCTATCAAAAGATGAAAACACTTTTCTCAACATTTCAACAGAGACATTTGGAGCTTTATCTAATCTTTTTTCCAAAACCTTAAAAGCATCAGCTTCATGATGATGAGAAGGTGCTGTACCTCTTAAAACCAAGGCTTTAAGTGAGTTTGGATACGTTATCGCATACTGCTGAGCTATAAATCCACCAAAACTACCACCTATAATGATGACCTTATCCTTCGTGAAATGTTGTCTTAGCTCTTCAATATCGTCCACAATTCTCTTGAACGTAAACGGTGGAGTAAATGAACTGTTCCCATGTCCTCTAAAGTCAAAACTTAAAACTCTGTACCCACTTAAGGCCAATTCTTTGTAAACTGAATGATCAGACTCTTTACTGCCAAAACCTCTCCCTCCATGAAGCGTAATTATCAAATCACCCAACCCTTCACCTTCTAGTAAATACTCCAACTCTGCGCCCCCAATGTTAACTCTTCCTAGCATCTTCAACTACTTACCGTTCCACCTACACTAAACATTCGTACTATTCAAAACTCCGTTTCATGGTTTATTTGTACAACGCGAAACGGCTGCTCGTTCTCTTTTGCGGACTTGATATGCAGAACTGAAATCATTGTTATCGTCGATGTCGCAATTTCTGATAAAACAGTGGCTTTTGGGTATAAAAAATTATGACTGTTGAGACCATCAGATTGTATTTAAAGAAGCGATGAGATGTTGATTAAGATTTAAGCCCATCTGAAGTTAATGGAATAATTATCAGTCAAAACCATGCTTGAAAAATTGAATTTTTTCAAAAGTGATAAGAAGGGCTCAAATGAAGGGTTCGACAGCACCACAGAAACCAAAAAGAAGCATCATACTTTACAATGGTATGAACCAGGTACCACAAAGAAAGAGAAACTACTGATCTTTAAACTTGATTTCTTTCTTCTTACTTATGCCTGTGCTGCCTTCTTTTTGAAATATCTTGATCAAACAAACGTTAGTAATGCCTATGTCTCGGGTATGAAAGAAGACTTGAATATGAATAAAGATCAACTGTCTTGGATGAACACTTATTTCAACATTGGTATCATTGTGGGATCTATTCCAAGTACCATGTTGGTCTCATACATCCGTCCTAGATTATATCTACCTGCAATGGATGCTCTTTGGTCATTATGTGTGTTGTTTGTTTATAAATGTAACAAGGTGGAACAAATTTATGCACTTAGATTCTTGATGGGGTTCTTTGAATCTTCTGCTAACCCAGCTACTCACTTCCTTATTGGTGCTTGGTATAAGAAGAGTGAAATCTTACGTCGTTCAGCATTCTTTGTTATTTCTGGTGTCATTGGTCAAGCTATTTCTGGTTTCATTCAAGGTGGGTTATATCAACATATGAATGGTGTTCGTGGTCTAAGTGCTTGGAGATGGTTGTTCATTTTTGATGCTATACTAGGTATACCAGTTATTTTATATGGTTTGTTTGCTATTCCAGATACTCCTCAAACCACAAAGGCTTTCTACTTGAACGAATGGGAAAGAAAACGTTGTGTTGAAAGAATTGATGAAGATGGTAGAACTCCAACAGGTAAATGGGATATGACAATCTTTAAAAGAATTTTTGGTTCATGGCAATTTTATGTCTTTATAGTGGCTTACTCATTATGGTCATTAACTGGTGGTAATTATGTTATGCAATTTTACACTCTTTACTTGAAATATACTGGTGATTATACAATTCCTCAAGTCAACTACATGCCAACATCAATGAGTTGTGTTAATTTGGTGTGTATGTTATCATCTGGTATTGTCTCTGATTTGATTGGTAAAAGATGGCCATTTTTATTGTTTGTTGGGACAATCTTGATCTTTACATATAGTGTTATGCTGAGCTCTGGAGCGTCGCATCATTTAAGATTAGCTGCTTATACTATGACTGGTGCGTATGGTTGTTTCACTCCTGTTCTTGCTGGTTGGTGTAATATCTCTTGTGGTGGTGATCAACATTTAAGAGCCGCTACACAAGCTTCAATGATTGTTGTTGGTCAAATTGTTGTTACTCCATTCCAACAAGAGCTTTTCCCATCAAGTGATGCGCCATTTTATAGAAAGACTAAAGGATTTGCTTATGGGTTAGCGTTTGTGATTTGTTTAACTTTCTGGACTGTGGTTGTTATCCCAATGGTTGAGAGTCACTTTGAGAAGAAGAAGCAAAAAAATGATAGCCCAGTTGAACTAGATTCACAGATTGATAATTCCACTGATTCTTTAAGTGACGAAAGAGTTAAGAGTATACATGTTCAAAATACGGGAAAGGATGAAGGTCGTGCTAATGCTGTTTGAATATAAGGTTTTATTTTGGTTTACGTATAATGCTGATTAGTTAAGTATAACGATGATTTGATTTTAAGACATTGCAGTAATGTATTGATCGCGATGGTGGGTAGTTCTTATCAGCACTTTTTTTAACAGAGTACGTTCTTATATTTCTAATCTTTTCTAACTATACAATTACTTCCATTAAGTTCAATTTCTAAATTCACATCTCTTATTAATAATTAAAACAACCACTAGATTTCTAGTAATTGGTTTCTCAAAATAATAGGTTTCCAAAAAGACTCTAAGAGTCAAATCATCAATCAACTTAAGATTTCATAATACAGAGAAATATAATTTATCTTTGTAACACCCTATTGATGTTGAATTTGTCCTCAACCATATATCTATCCTAGCATCTCAACAACACAACCTTTAAACCCCTTCAGAACCTCTCGCTCCTCTCTATTCACCTCTAAAACCATACTTTTGTTGAATACTAGATCATATCAGATCATGAACTAGTTTCTCATCCCTTTCCTAGTAACCATACGCTACATCAAATTCAATATTACCACTGTGCACACCCAGTAACACTAAATATTATATGAGCTTGGCACCTTATAATATAGAGAAGTTGAGGCATACGCAATAAGGTGTTGATGAATCAAGTTCTTATTGACACGTATATTTTGGCGGATTTAAATAGGTGTAAGAAATTGATGTGTCTTAAGCTTACATTACATTTGTTGATTTGAACTCAATATAGTGTAGGCTAAGTCACATAAGCTGTTGCTTTCTTATGTCAATGTATACCTTTTATATTATATAGTACGTATTCATTCAACCAACCAAACTTGACATCGACTTCGCGAAGATTGATGCCAGTCAAATAGAGTTTAGATCATGACTGAAAGCCAAGATCAACGCAGTCGTAAATTAGATCAATGTTTACATTTCATCAAACTTTATCAAAATAAGCATCTAAAATCACCTATAACGTTCAAACATCATATATATTACAATACAAAAAAGTTAATGTTCATGTTATGAATATCTCTAGTAATCCTCTTTCTTTATAGTTGAGTATCTGGGAAGTAAAAGAAGGCCAATGCAACAATCGCATAAGTACCAATCAGCATCGCACCTTCTAACCAATTACTTTCACCATCCAAAATCAAATAATTGGCAATCAAAACACTAACAAATAAAACTGCGGTTTCAAAAGTTGAAAAGTACAAAGTCATTGGAACATCAATAATCCAACCAACCAAAACCATGAATGGTGTGACAAATAAGGCAATTTGTAAAGAAGAACCAACAGCAACACCAATGGCTAAATCCATCTTGTCTTTAATGGCAACAACAACAGCAGTGACATGTTCAGCAGCGTTACCAACGATTGGGATAACAATCAACCCAATAAAAGTCTTTGATAATCCACTAGTTTCAACAATGTCATCAATTGAACCAACTAAATAATCTGCACATATGGAAACAACAATTGTGACAATAAACAAAAGTGAAATTGCTGAAAATGAGGACAATTCAGCGTAGTTTTCATATTTAGGGGAACCTGCTGCAGCATTTTGATGTTGTAATCTTGCTTCTTCTTCTTCATCACTATCACAAAAATCTTCAAAAATAGCTTTATGAGTTTTCAATTGGAATAATAAAAACAAAATATAGATAACCAATAACACAATTGAAGCACCTCTTGATAATGCTAAGATTTTTTCATCATTTGATGCTTGATCTTTTTGTGGCAGTGAAGCATGGAATGCAGCAGGAATTAATAAACCAGCAGTGGCTAAAGCCATTAAAGAACTCATTGTTTGAGCAACTGTTTGATTAAAAGCTTGTTGTAGTCTATTATAACCACCAGCAATGAAACAACAACCTAGCACCAATAACAAATTTGATAGAATTGAACCTAGCATTGAAGCTTGAACGATTCTAATTTGATTCTCTCTTAACGCAATTATGGAAACAATCAATTCCACAGCATTACCAAAAGTAGCATTCAAGAGACCACCTAAAGTTTCACCAACATGACATGATAAATCTTCAGTTGCAAAAGCTAATAAAGAAGCTAATGGGATGATTGCCAAAAAATTCAAAATGAAAACTGAAGTGGAAGACCAACCCAACTTACCAGCAATGATACCTAATGGGACAAACACTAGTAGGAAATTGACTGGTGAAGATTTTAAAGTCACAGTTGCCACATGAGCAACATTTTTCAAAACTGAACGAGGTGTATATTGATGCTGTTGATGTTGATGTTCTTGTTCGCCCAATAATGGGGTGTTTGAAGATGGGAGGCTCATTATTTTCAGATACCTGTTCCTGTTCCTGCTTGTACACACAGGCTAACTATTGGTTGTAGAGCTTCTTTCAGGGCAAAGTAACGTTCAGGGTCCAACCAAAAAAAGCTATTTTGCAATAAAATCAAGGCAGTGCTCAAGCTAGTTTAGCGCGACAACTTTCAGCCAATTCGGTGCTTCTCTAGTACTCTCTGACTGCACCAGTGATGAAGACAGTTGCAATTGAGAATATACAAATTGTTAAATCAACAAATTCCAAGGAAAAAGTGGAAGAGTTGGAATTGAGCCTTTTAAATTGAATTCTCGAGGCTGCTATTCAATTTGAAATTCTCTTTTTTTTTGTTTTTATTTTTTTCTCCGGTGACGTTGGCACATTTCTGGATTGGGCCAAAATGAAATTGATTCAAACTACAACATGATTTAATGTTAACCTATATTAATACTCCTAACTCTTCCCTATGTAAAACCCAATCCAAATGTAAATAAAACGAATGAAACAGCAAAAAATGCCACTAGCGTTAATTGCGGTGACGTTTGATAATTTGATGTAATACAATAATGAACAAAACTTGTAATAATCCCAACTGGAACAACAACCTCCACTATGAAATTATCTATATTGTTATAATAATAAATTTCTAACCAGGAGAATAAACTATCATCCAAATCAGGAACATAAATGAAAGTGATTGACAAGATTAAAGAGATCCCAATCTCATAAAAAGATGAAATTATTGACCATGCAATGATTTCTAGAATTGAAATTAATGGTGATTTTGAAGGGTTTGGTGGTGATATTAAATTATTAAGTGAAGTGAATGAAACAACTGAACCATAATTGGTATGGACTGGTGTAAGATTTGGTGTTTTAGAATGGTCATTGTTGTATGAAGTACTTGGGTTTAAAAACTCAATTGAATCTGAATTATAATCCACAACTAATGTATTATTGTTATTGTTGATTTGATCTGATTTTAACAGATAATCATTCTCATTTAATGAAGATTCACCAATGTTATTCACAGGAGAATAAACATTTTTCTTGATGTATGAATTTCTCCGTACTTGAATACAATTTGATAATGTTGATTTCTGTCTAACCAATTCACTAATATTTTCATTCGATTGCTGACGAGTAACTTCAATTTGTGCATAATCCAAAGGTTGGAACCAAATAATTCGAATCTCACCGTAAAGATAAATCGAATGATTAATCAAATTATAAATTGCTCCAAATAAATAACTTTCCCTTTTAACAAGGTTCCAATTTGAAAAAGTTTGTTCAATCTCTGTCTTTTGTGGATATGCTAATAATAGTAATGCTAAGAATTCAATGATAACTTTCAAGTTATAGAAATGACGGAAATATTTAGAACCAATATTAACAAGTGATGAACTTAATGTTGCCAATATAAAAGTTCTAACATATTCTAATGAACATGGGGAAAATGATTTTGGGTGATGAATAATCTGTATGAATAATGAGCTTGAAATAAATAAAGAATCAACAACTAATATTGGTATCAAAAGGACCAAGATATCCTTGATTCTTTTGTACTGCAATGACATATGTACGCTCTATGATGTGCTCGTTTGTTGTTTTATGAATGCAACTGATCCCTTTGATCTGAATATGAGAAAACTATCTCTCTTTAAAATAAACTAAATGCCAATGTTGATCTCCCCTTTTCAGTTTTTTCGAGGAGTCATAATTAAATATAATCCAGTTCCAAAAGTTACACTTTGATTCTATTAATTAACCTCTCCAGTTATCAAAAAAAGCCCATACAATGTACCTTATTCATTAGAAAATTTTTTGATCTAAAATAACAATAAATTAGTGCAAATCACGTGCTCTGCTAATAGTGTCTTTACCAATTTTGCACAGTTGGTTTAGTCAGCGACAAACCTCGTCAACGAAAAGCGCAAGTGGTTTAGCGGTAAAATTCAAAGTTGCCATCTTTGAGCCCCCGGTTCGACTCCGGGCTTGCGCATTTTTTTGGTATTCTTTTTGGACAAAATTACATTAAGATGCATAGTCCTTTTGATGCTAAAGATTTAACTGTGATCGCATATGCTGATGATGTTAATTTGCTAGTTAAGTCAAAGGAGGAATTGGAAAAAATCACAACCAATTTTCAGATTTATGAAGATGTTTCAAATATGAAAATTAATTTAGACAAGTCAAATATAGTTACATTGAGAAGATGGATGGAAAATGAATATAAAGAAGAGTATAAAGATAATGCTATAAAGGTCACACCATTGGAAAAAGCATCTGCAATAAAATTTTTAGGTATCTCAATTAATGGAGAAAGTAACTGGGAAGAAATATTTGGAAAAATTCAGAAGCAATTATGGTACCCACTTTTAGCTGATGTCCCTTTGAATATAAGAGCTGAATTGATGAATATCTACATCAT